AACCACGACTACGATTATAACAAGCACGACCATGAATATAACAAGCACGACCATAAATATAACACCACGACCATCATTAAAACAACCATGACCATGATTATAACAACCACGACTATGATTATAACAACCACGACCATGATTATAACCACCTTGACCATGATTATGACAACCACGACCATGATTATAACAACGACAACCATGATTATAACAACCACGAAAATGAATATAACAACAACAACCATGATTAAAACAAACACGACTATGATTATAACAACAACAACCATGATTAAAACAACCACGACTATGATTATAACAACCACGACTATGATCATAACCATGACTATGATTATAATAATCACGACCATGATTATAACAACCACGACCATGATTACTTAACAACTACGATTATGATTATAAAAACCACGACCGCCCAGTTATAACAACCACGACCATGATTATTATAACCACGACTATGATAAGAACAACCATGACAATGATTATAACACCCACGACCATGATTATAACAACTACGACTATGATCATAACCACAACCATGATTATAACAACCACAACCATGATTATAACAACCACGACCATGATTATAACAACCACGAAGATGATTACAACAACCACGACTATGATTATAACAGCCACGACTATGATTATAACAACTACGACCATGATTATAAAAACCACAACCATGATTAAAACAACCACGACCATTATTATAACAACCACGAATATGATTATAACAACCACGACCATGATTATAACAACCACGAATATGATTATAACAACCACGACCATGATTATAACAACCATGACCATGATTATAACAACCACGTATATGATTATAACAACCACGACTATGATTATAACAACCACGACCATGATTATAACAACCACGACCATGATTATAACAACCACGACTAAGATTATAATAACCACGACTATGATTATAGCAACCACGACCATGATTATAACAACCACGATTATGATTATAACAACAACGACCATGATTATAACAACCACGACCATGATTATAACAACCACGACTATGATTATAACAACAACGACCATGATTATAACAACCACGACCATGATTACAACAACCACGATTATGATTATAACAGGCACGACTATGAGTAAAACAACCACGACCATGATTATAACAACCACGACCATGAATATAACAACCACGACCATGATTATAACAACCACGACCATGATTATAACAACCACGACCATGATTATAACAACCACGACTATGATTATAATAACCACGACTATGATTATAGCAACCACGACCATGATTATAACAACCACGACTATGATTATAACAACAACGACCATGATTATAACAACCACGACCCTTGATTATAACAACAACGACTATGATTATAGCCAACAACGACCATGATTGCATAACAACCACGACCATGATACAACAACCATTGCGTTATAAAGACCACGACTATGATTATAACAATCACGACATGATTATAACAACCACGACCTTGATTATAACAACTACGATTATGATTATACAAGCCGACCATGATTATAACAACCATGACCATGATTATTATAACCACGACTATGATAAGAACAACCATGACAATGATTATAACACCCACGACCATGATTATAACAACTACGACTATGATCATAACCACAACCATGATTATAACAACCACGACCATGATTATAACAACCACGACTATGACAGTAACAATCACGACTATGATTATAACACCCACGACCATGATTATATCAATCGTGCCTCTGATTACAACAACCACGACCATGATTATAACAACCACGACCATGATTATAACAACCACGACTATGATTATAACAACCACGACTATGATTGCGCAACCATGACCATGATTATAAAAGCCACAACCATGATTATAACAACGCCACGACCATGATTATAACAGCACGAATATGATTATAACAACCGACCATGATTATAACAACCACGAGCTCATGATTATAACAACCACGACCATGATTATAACAACCACGACCATGATTATAACAACCATGAATATGATTATAACAACCACGAATATGATTATAACAACTACGACCATGATTATAACAACTACAACCATGATTATAACAACCACGACCATGATTATAACAACCACGACTATGATTATAACAACCACGACCATGATTATAACAACCACGACCATGATTATAACAGCAACGACCATGATTATGACAACCACGACCATGATTATAACAACCACGACCATGATTATAACAGAAACGACCTTGATTATGACAACCACGGCCATGATTATAACAACCACGACCATGATTATAACAACCACGACCTTGATTATAAGAACCACGACTATGATTACAATAACCACGACTATGATTATAACAACCACGACTATGATAATAACAATCACGACCATGATTATAACAACCACGACCATGATTATAACAACTACGATTATGATTATAAAATCCACGACCATGATTATAACTACCACGACCATGATTATTATAACCACGACTATGATAAGAACACCCATGACAATGATTATAACACCCACGACCATGATTATAACAACTACGACTATGATCATAACCACAACCATGATTATAAAAACCACAACCATGATTATAACAACCACAACTATGATTATAACAACCACGACCATGATTACAACAACCACGACTATGATTATAACAGCCACGACTATGATTATAACAACCACGACCATGATTATAAAAACCACAACCATGATTAAAACAACCACGACCATTATTATAACAACCACGAATATGATTATAACAACCACGACCATGATTATAACAACCACGAATATGATAATAACAACCACGACCATGATTATAACAACCACGACCATGATTATAACAACCACGTATATGATTATAACAACCACGACTATGATTAAAACTACCACGACCATGATTATAAAAACCACAACCATGATTATAACAACCAAGACCATGATTATAACAACCACGGATATGATTATAACAACTACGAACATGATTATAACAACTACGACCATGATTATAACAATCACGACCATGATTATAACAACCACCACTATGATTATAACAACCACGACCATAATTATAACAAGCACGACCATGATTATAACCAGTACCCAGTCATACCCAGTAACAAAGTATCATACCCAAACCCAGTCCATGCCCAATACCCAGTCATACCCAGCACCCAGAATCATACCCAGTACCCAGCAACATACCAGACACCCAGGTCATACCCAGCACCCAGCCTCAGTCCCAGCACCCAGTATCATACGCAGTATCAAAGCTTTACTACCCATTACCCATAGTGTCATAGTACCCAGTGTCATGCCCATTACCCAGTACCCATTGTCATGCCCAGTACCAGTGTCAACCAGTACCCAGTGTAGCCAGTACCGAGAAACAACCAGTATCCAGTACCCCACCCAGCACGAAGTGTCATACCCAGTACCTAGTACCCAGTGTCATACACATTACCCAGTATCACACCCAGTACCCAGTGTCATACCCATTACTCCATACCCAGTGTCATACCCAGTACCCAGTGTCATACACTGTACCCAGTGTCATACACAGTAACCCAGTGTCATGCACCAGTACCCAGTGTCCGACCCAGTACCCAGTGTCATACCAGTACCCAGTGTCATACCCAGTACTCCAGTGCCATGCCCAACACCCAGTGTCATGCCCCAGTACCCAGTGTCATAAACAGAACCCATCATACCCAGTACAAAGTGTCATGCCCACCCAATATCAAATCACAGTACCCAGTATCACACCCAGTACCCAGTTTCATACCAGTACCCATTGTTATACCCGGCACCCAGTGTCATACCCAGTACCCAGTGCATGTCCACCCAGTGTCATGCCCAGTACCCAGTGTCATACCCAGTACCCAGTGACATACCAAGTACCCAGTGTCAAACCCAGTACCCAGTGCCATACCAAGTACCCACTGTCACACCCAGTACCCAGTGACACACCCTGCACCAGTGTCATACCCACCCCAGTGACATACCACGTACCCAGTGTCATACCAGTAACCCAGTGTCATGCCCAGTACCCACTGTCACACCCATACCCAGTGTCAATACAGCACTCAGTGTCATGCCCAGTACCCATGTCATACCCAATGTTTATGTCAAACCCAGTGTCATACCCAGTACCCAGGCACATGCCCAGTACCAAGTGTGCAATCCCAGTACCCAGTGTCATACCCAGCCCAGTGTCACACCCAGTACCCAGTGTCATGCCCAGTACCCAGGTCATACTCTAGTACCAGTGTCATACCCAGCACCCTGATATGCCCAATAATCAGTACATACCAGCAACCCAGTGCCATACCCAGCCCAGTACTCTATACCAGTAATCCCAGTGTCATACCCAGCACCCAGTCTCATACTGATCGCCCAGTCTCACCCAGTACCCAGTGTCATATCCCAGTACCGAGTGTCATACCCAGTACCCAGTGACATGCCCAGTAACCAGTGTCATAACCTAATACCTAGTGTCATACCTAGCACCCAGTGTCATACCCAGTACCCAGTGTCATACCCAGTACCCAGTGTCAGCCCAGTACCAAGTGCAATGCCCAGTACCCAGTGTCATACTTAGTACCCAGTGTCACACCCAGTACCCAGTATCATGCCCAGTACCCAGTGTCATACCTAGTACCCAGTGTCATACCCAGTACCCAGTGCCATACCCAGTACCCAGACATGCCCAGTAACCAGTGTCATACCCAATACCTAGTGTCATGCACACTACCCAGTGTCTTATACCCAGTACCCAGTGTGTACACACCAGTACCCAGGCTCATACCAGTACCCAGTGTCAAGCTGCCACCCAGTATCCAGTGCCCTACCCAGCCAGTGTCATACCCAGTACACAGTGTCATACCCAGTACCTAGTGTCATACCCAGTACCCAGTCTCATACCCAGTACCCAGTGTCATGCCCACACCAAGTGTCATACCCATATCCAGTATCAAACCCAGTACCCAGTATCCAGTGTTATACCCATCACCCAGGGTCATGCCCACCAATACACCAGTACCACAGTCATGCCCAGTACCCAGTATCCATTGTCCTACCCATTATCCAGTGTCATGCCCAGCACCCAGTATTATACCCAGAACCCAGTATCCAGTGTCCTTCCAGTACGCAGTGTCATGCCCAACGCCCAATATCCAGTGGTTGCCCACCACCCAGTGTCATGACCAGTACCCAGTATCCAGTGTCCTACCCAGTGACCCAGTGTCATACCCAGTACCCAGTATCATACCCAGAACCCAGTACCCAGTGCCATCCCAATCCCAGAGTCATACCCAGTACCCAGAATCATACCCAGTACCCAGTGTCATACCCAGTACCGTCATAATGCACCCCTTTTGCCCAGTACCCAGCATCATACGCAGTATCCAGTTTCCAACCCATTACCCAGTGTCATGCCCAGCAGTGTCATGCCCAGTACCCAGAACCCATTGTCATGCCCAGTACCCAGTGTCACCCAGTGTCGCCCAGTTCCGAGTATTATACCCAGTATCCAGGCCCCACCAGTGCGAAGTGTCATACCCACCCCAGTATCATACCCAGTACCCAGTGTCATACACCTTACCCAGTATCATACCCAGTACCCAGTGTCATAGAGAGTACCCAGTGTCATACCCATTACCACCCAGTGTCATACCCAGTACCAGTGTCATACACTGTACCCAGTGTTATACACAGTACCCAGTGTCATGCCCAGTACCCAGTGTCCGACCCAGTACCAATGTCATACCCATTACCCAGTGTCATACCCAGTACCCAGTGCCATGCCCATACCCAGTGTCATGCCCAGTACCCAGTGTCATAACCAGAACCCAGTATCATACCCAGTGTCATGCCCAGTACCCAAAATCAAACCCAGTACCCAGTATCATACCCAGAACCCAGTGTCATGCCCAGCACCCATTGTCACCTGGTACCCAGTGTCATACCCAGTACCCAGTGCCATGCCCAGTACCCAGTGTCCTACCCAGTACCCAGTATCATACACGCACCCAGCATCATACCCAGTGTCATGCCTGGTACCCAGATGTCATACGCAGTACCCAGTGCCATGCCCAGGACCCAATGTCATACCCAGTACACAGTGTCCTATCCAGTACCAAGTGCCATGCCCAGTACCAACATCATACTCAGTACCCAGTGTCCTACCTGCACCAGTGCCATGCCCAGTACCCCGTGTTATACCCAGTACCCAGTGTCCTACCCAGTACCCAATGTCATACACAGTACCTAGTGTCCCACCCAGTACTCAGTGTCATACCCAGAACCCAGCACCAGTGCCATGCCCACACCATTGTCATACCCAGTACTCAGTGTCATACCCAGTACCCAGCCATGCCCACACCAGGCATGCCCAGTACCCAGTGTCACACTCAGTACCCAGTATCCAGTGTCCCACCCAGTACCCAGTGTCATACCCAGTACCCAGTATCATACCCAGAACCCAGTACCCAGTGCCATGCCCAATACCCATACCCAGTACCCAGAATCATACCCAGTACCCAGTGGCATACCCAGTACCGAGGTCATACCCAGTACCCATTTTCATGCCCAGTACATCATACGCAGTATCCAAATTCCTACCCATTACCCAGTGTCATGCCCAGTACCCAGTACCTATTGTCATGCCCAGTACCCAGTGTCATACCCAGTACCCAGTGATGTGCCCAGTCACCGAGTATTATACCCAGCATCCAGTGCCCTACCCAGAAGTGTCATACCAGTTCCCAGTATCACCCAGTACCAGCACCCAGTGTCATACACATTACCCAGTATCATACCCAGTACCCAGTCATAGAGAGTACCCAGTGTCATACCCATTACCCGCTACCCAGTGTCATAACCAGTACCAGTGTCATACACTGTACCCAGTGTCATACACAGTACCCAGTGTCATACCCAGTACCCAGTATCATACCTAGTACGCAATGCCCAGTACATAAGAACATAAGAACATAAGAAAGGGATACGCAGGAGGCCAACTGCCCATACAGGGCAGATCCCTTTCACACCCATCCCAGCACTTCCAGTGCCTATCCAACTTTGTCTTGAAGTCCCCTTTAGCGTCCCCGATCCTACTATAGCACTCGGTAGCCTATTCCATATCCACAACCTATTACCAAACCAGTGCTTGCCTATATCCTTTCTGAAACGAAATTTATCTAATTTAAAGCCATTTGTTCTAGTTATTTCGTTATTACTGAGCTTCAGAACATCTTCCATTTACCCTTGTTAATCCCACTTACCCACTTGTACACCTCTATCATATCTCCCCCCCAATCCCTACGCCTCTCTAATGAATGTAAGCCTGCTTTTCAGTCTTTCTTCATATGGAAGGTTTCTAATATTATGGATCATTTTTGTCATTCTTCTTGTACTCTCTCCAAAAGAATCTATGTCCATTCTATAATAAGGACACCAGAACTGAACCGCACAATCTGTGGCCTCACTAATGCTAGGTAAAGTTTCAAGATAACGTCAGCAGTTCTGTTACTCACAGACCTAGATATGAACCCAAGAATCCTGTTTGCCTTAATGCGAACGCTAATACATTGTTTTCAGGTTTCAAGTCGTTACAATAAATACACCTAGATCTTTTTCACAAACTGAGTTTTATTTCCGTGTACCTAGTTTATACTTAACGTTTGTATTCGTCTTCCTATCTGTGGCAATTTATTATCAGTATTAAATTCATTTGCCAGTCTACTGACCACTCATGTAAGGTATCTACATCCTTTTGAAGGTGTTCAAAGTCACTGTCTGAATTTTATCACTCTCCCATTTTGGTATCATCTGCAAATTTACTAATCCTACTAGTTATGCCTAAATCAAGATCATTAATGAATATAACAAACAGCAGAGGGCTCATTGACAGATCCCTGGGAACCTCCGCTTTTGACCGCATCCCCAGTCTGACTTTAATCCATCCGACCCAGTACCCAGTGTCATACCCAGTACCCAGTGTCATACCCAGTACCCAGTGCCATGCCCAATACCCAGTGCTGCCCAACCCAGTGTCATAACCAGTACCCAGATCATACCCAGCAAAGTGTCATTCCCAGTACCCACTATCAACCCAGTACCCATTATCATACCCAGCCCAGTGTCATGCCCAGTACCCATTGTCATACCCAGTACCCAGTGTCATACCCAGCCCAGTGCCATGCCCAGCACCAGTGTCCCACCCAGCCCCAGTGTCATACACAGTACCCAGTATCATACCCAGTGTCATGCCAGGTACCCAGTGTCATACCCAGTACCCAGTGCCATCCCCAGTACCCAATGTCATACCCAGTACAGTGTTCTACCGGCACCCAGTGCCATGTCCAGTACCCAATGTCATACAGTACCCAGTGTCCTACCCAGTACCCAGTGTATACCCAGGCACCCAGTGTCATGCCCACCCAGAGCCATGCCCAGCACCCAGTGTCATACCATTACCCAGCGCCATGCTCAGTATCCAGTGTCCCACCCAGTACCCAGTGTCACACACAGTGTCATACCCAGTACCCAGTGTCATACCCAGTACTCAGTGTCATACCCAGTACCCAGTGTCATGCCCAGTACCCAGTCTCATACCCAGGCACCCAGTGTCATGCCCAGCACCCAGTGTCAGCACCCAGTATCCAGTATCAAACCCAGTACCCAGTATCCAGATCATACCCAATACCCAGGGTCATGCCCAGTACCCAGTGGACAATTAGCACCCAGTGTCATGCCCAGTACCCAGTATCCATTGTCCTATCCAGTATCCAGTGTCATGCCCAGCACCCAGTATTATACCCAGAACCCAGTATCCAGTGTCCCACCCAGTACCAAGTGTCATGCCCAACGCCCATCACCCAGTGGCATGCCCAGTACCCAGTGTCATGACCAGTACCCAGTATCCATTGTCCAATCCAGCATCCAGTGTCATGCCCAGCACCCAGTACATACCCAGAACCCAGTATCCAGTGTCCCACCCAGTACCAAGTGTCATGCCCAACGCCCATTACCCAGTGGCATGCCCAGTACCCAGTGTCATCAGTACCCAGTATCCAGTGTCCCACCCAGTACCAGGTCATACCCAGTACCCAGTATCATACCCAGAACCCAGTACCCAGTGCCATGCCCCTAAACCCAGTGTCATACCCAGTACCCGGTGTCATACCCAGTACCCAGTATCATACTGCAGTATCCAGTTTTCTACCCATTACCCAGTGACATGCCCAGTACCCAGTACCCATTGTCATGCCCAGTACCCAGTGTCATACCCAGTACTCAGATTCGTGCCCAGTACCGAGTATTATACCCAGTATCCAGTGTCCTACCCAGCGAAGTGTCATACCAAGTTCCCAGTATCATACCCAGTACCTAGTACCCAGTGTCATACATTACCCAGTATCATACCCAGTACCAGTGTCATAGATAGTACCCATTGTCATACCCATACTCCACACCCAGTGTCATACCCAGTACCCAGTGTCATACCCAGTAATTCAGTGTCATACACTTACCCAGTGTCATACACAGTACCCAGTGTCACACACAGTACCCAGTGCATACCCAGTACCCAGTGTCATAACCAGAACCAGTATCATACCCAGTACAAAGTGTCATGCCCAGTAACCAATATCAAACCCAGACCCAGTGTCATGCCCAGTACCCATTGTCATACCCGGTACCCAGTGTCATACCCAGTACCCAGTGCCATGTCAAACCTAGTGTCCTACCCAGTACTCCAGTGTCACACAGGTGTCATACCCAGTACCCAGTGTTGCACCAGTGTCAAGCCCAGTATCAGTGTCATGCCCAGTACCCAGTGCCATGCCCAGCCCAGTAAAAGTGTCCTACCCAGTACCCAGTGTCATACACAGTGTCATACCCAGTACCCAGTGTCATACCCAGTACACAGTGTCATACCCAGTACCCAGTGTCATACCCAGTCTCATACCCAGTACCCAGTGTCATACCCAGTACCCAGTCTCATACCCAGTACCCAGTGTCAGCCCAGCACCCAGTGTCATACCCAGTATCCAGTATCAAACCCAGCACCCAGTATCCAGTCATACCCAATACCCAGGTTTATTCCCAGTACCCAGTGGCATACCCAGTACTCAGTGTCATGCCCAGTACCTAGTATCCATTGTCCTACCCAGTATCCAGTGTCATGCCCAGCACCCAGTATTATACCCAGAACCCAGCATCCAGTGTCCTACCCAATACCCAGTGTCATGCCCAACGCCCAATACCCAGTGGCATGCCCAGTACCCAAGTGTCATGACCAGTACCCAGTATCCAGTGTCCTACCCAGTACCCAGTGTCATACCCAGTACCAGAATCATATCCAGAACCCAGTACCCAGTGCTATGCCCAATACCCAGTGTCATACCCAGTACCCAGTGTCATATCCAGTACCCAGTGCCATGCCCACACCAGGCATGCCCAGTACCCAGTGTCATGACCAGTACCCAGTATCCAGTGTCCTACCCAGTACCCAGTGTCATACCCAGTACCCAGTATCATACCCAGAACCCAGTACCCAGTGCTGCCTTGCCCACACTGCATTGTCAACAGCAATACGTAACTGGAACGAAGTAATACTGAT